TTGGGTTATATGCAACAGACTTGTTGGGAATAACAGACTTGATGGGACAGCTCACACAACTGGAGTACTATCCCAGAAAGGACAGGCAGAGGAGAAGAGGAAGCTTTTTAAGTAAGAGCTGTATGATTGCTCAGCAGTACAGTATGAAACTGGAGACATGCCTGTTGAAAACCTGAGTTTAGGGTCAGACGCCAGAGCAACAAGGGTGAGGTCGCAGTGGGTGTCAACTATAGCATCCGGGTTTGGTTGTCTGAGCTGGATGAGGCTTTCTTGAAACCTGAGCTAGCTGTTTGCAGATCACAGGGCCTAGTTCTCATGGGGGACTTTAATCACCCTTCAATGATATCTGTTGGGAGGGCAATACAGCAGTACAGAGGCAATCCAGGAAGTTTTTGGAGAGTCCTGGGGACAACTTCCTGGTACAAGTTTTGGAGAGGCCAACTGGGGACCATGCTCTTTTTGATCCGCTGCTCACAAACAGGGAAGAGCTACTGGGGAATGCAGAAGTGGATGGCAACCTGGGCATCAGTGACCACAAGATGACTGAATTCAGGATCCTGAGGGCGGGAAGGCAGGAAGGAGGGTGGGCAGGCAGGCAGTGAAGAAAGGAACCTGGATATCAGAAAAACAGACTTTGACTCGCTCAGGGAAATGCTGGGTAGCATCCCGTGTGAGGCCAGTCTGAAGGGAAAAAGGAGTCCTGGAAAGCTGCCTGTACTTTAAAGAAACCTTACTCAGGGAGCATGAATGAACCAACCTAATGCACAGGAAGACTGGCAAGTTTGGCAGAAGACCAGCTTGGCTTAGCAGAGAACTCTACAGTGAGCCAAAACACAAAAAAAGGCAACTTACAAGAAGTAGAAACTTGGACAATTAACTAGGGAGAAATATAAGAGTACTGCTCTGGCATGCAGGGATGAAGTCAGGAAGGCCAAATCACAACTGGAGTTGCAGCTAGCAAGGGATGTGAAGGGGAACAAGAAGGGTTTCTACAAGTAAGTCAGTAACAAGAGGAAGATCAGGGAAGGTGTGGGTCCCTTACTAAATGGAGAGGCAACCTAGTGATAGATGATGCGGAAAAGACTGAAGTGCTGCTTTTTTTACCTCAGTCTTCGTTAATGCCTTTTAAAAAGCATTTAATGCCTTAATGCCTTTTGTAATGCCTTTTTTAAAGCATATCATCTTTTTTACCTCAGTCTTCACAGGCAAGGTCAGCTCCCAGACTATTGCATCTGGCAGCATAGCTTGGGGAGGAGATGAACAGTCAACAGTAGTGAAAGAACAGGTTAGGGACTATTTAGGAGAGCTGGACGTATGTCCATGTGGCCAAATGCAATGCACCCAAGGGTGCTGAGGGAGTTGGCTGATGCGACTTTAGGACTTGTGGCGATTTGGAGAGGTCCAAGACAACTGGAAAAGGGCAAACATAATGCCTATCTTTAAAAAAGGGGAAGAGGAGGATCTACAAACTGGTCAGCCTCACCTCAGTCCCTAGAAAAATCGTGCAGCAGATCCTCAAAGAATCCATTCCTAAGTACGTGGAGGAGAAGGTGATTAGGAACAGTTGGAGCATGGATTCACCAAGGGCAAGTCATGTCTGACCAATCTGTCTTCTATGATGAGATGACTGGCTCCGCGGATGGGAGGAGAGCAGTGGATGTGATATATCTTGACGTTAGCAAGACTTTTAATACAGTCTCCCACAACATTCTCACAAGTAAGCTAAAGAAGTACGGGCTGGACGAATGGACTGTAACGTGGACAGAAAACTGGCTGGAGCATTAGGCTTAATGGCTCAATTTTTAGTCAGCAGCTGGTCTCAAGTCGAGTGCCCCAGGGGTTGGTCCTGGGGCCAGTTTTGTTCAATATCTTCATCAACGGCCTGAAAGGTGGCGCAGAGTGCACCCTGAGCAGGTTTGCAGATGATACCAAGCTGGGGGGAGTTGTAGATACACTGGGGAATAGGGCTAGGATTCAGAGTTACCTAAAGAAACTGGAGGATTGAAACAAAAGAAAAACCTCATAGGGCACATCCTGACATGCACATGTGTGGTTTGTGATGGATCAAAGCAGTCTGAGGCGCCAAAAATTGCACAGTGCACACCTGTTTTCCATACTGCAAATTAGCAGCATGGTGATTTTGGGATTTTTGACACCAGGAGATTCCAGTGTCAAAAAAATGCCACTAAAAAAAAAAAAACCAGCGTGATGCAGGCAGCAACAGCATGTGCCACCTGAGTGGGAGCCTGGCTGGTGAGAGCCATGCTCTGGCTGCTGGCCAGGCTCCAAGTGGCTGGCTCGGCACTGGTGCTGCCCTTGGAGACTCCCAAAACCCCAGGTAAGGCTGTTGGGGGCTGCTGGCCCCAGACTCCCCTAACCCACCTGGGTCACTTTGCCATGTGAAAAAGACAGTTTTCTTCATGTCCCTGCCTCAGAAATGTAATAGAAAACTAATTTCTATCCAGACTCTTCATTTCTGACCTTAAGTGATATAATGCAGTACACAGCTAATCTACTCAATAGTAAAGAATTTTTATATAAATTAAAGCATAAATATTTATTTAACTGATGATTATTTTGTAATGGTTTATAAGCATTAGGTATCTCTTTTTGAAAAACAGAATCAATTTCTCAGAAGATATACAGATCATCCCAGATGTTGCAGACCTGTGTAACAATGAATACTTAGAAGAAAATTACCTAATAATACAGTGATAAAGTGTAAATTAGCAACTGGCTGAGTACAAGGGATCAGAGCTCTGTCATTAAAGTAAAAGCTTACAGTGGAGAAACACAAGTATACAGGGGAACCCTAAGAAGTTAAGGTTGGAGTAAGTTATCCAACATATTCACTTTCATGGTTTTCTATTCCTACTTTGTTTTTCTGCTGTATTTCCTTGTCTGTTTCTTCTTCCACATATCTGTCTTCTTTTTCTTTTAATGGCCAATGCTCATAAGCCAGAGCCACTTTTTCCATCTCCTTTGGCCTATCACGGTGAATCCCCATCTCATCTATAATGGAACTATTATTTTTATAACTGTTCGATGTCACGTTTCTGTACAGACAAAAAACCTGAAATTACACTGTAAATATGCAGAAAAAAAACACAAATATTGTGGGACAGCTACCCAGTTATCAAATAACAGAAGTGTCATGGCAGGTACATTCAGGTGGAAATATAAAAGTAACAGTGGTCACTTTTTAGGTGTCCTGTTCAAGTACCATTTGCTTTCAGCACCTAATGGAATTCTGAAACATTAACAAGTTGCTTTTGTTGCTCACAACGTTCTGTTTTACAATGACACTAATATCCTGAACTCTTAGATATATAATTTTAGGAGATAATATTGTTTTATGTTTGGCAGTTAAAATAAATTAAAGTGGTAAAAGTCAGCTAAGTTGAATGCTATTTTGAGTGTCTGCAGTGCCTTTCAGTTAGGGCTGTAAAAACTATTTAGAAATATCAGCTAAAGCTTACAGCTCCTTTGCTGGCCACCGATTCCTAGAGCCTTGTTGCCCAGAGAAGGAGTCACTTGCTCAGGGTGGACTCTTTATTGGTCAAGAATATTCCCCAAGTTTTGGTTAACAGCCTGGGGAAATGCTGGCAGGTCTTAGTGGGCTACTAATTGAACTTTAAGTCACTTATGTTGTCTAGAGTTCTATTCCAGGCCACTTCCAAGAACTGGTGGGTGGGTAAGTAAAAACCTCGCTTATTTTCAGAAGAAATGAGCAGAATGAAAAAATAAAGGAATTAATTAAGAGCATTCCTGACAGAAAAATAGGTCAGGGGTTATTAACAAGTTCTCCTCCTTATTTAGCATCACAAGTAGATTATGGCTCTCTGCAAACCCTTTGCTAGAAGTAGCAGCAGCAGTAAGATAATAATTGGGCAATTTAAGTCACTTAGTGGAAATTTTTACCCTTCATTTTCTTCGTAGGGCGCACATGTGACTACAATTTTACTTTGTTGCCTTTAAAAAGTATCTTGCAGCAAATCCTTTGGAATTTCATGCAATAAGCCTTACAATTCTTGGATAACTATTTGTACATCGATTCCTGAAGTTTTCCTGGTAACATACATGTAATCCTTTATGCCTTGCACAACTGCACTAACATTGAATTTTGGTGACTTTGGACAGGGTTTCTCTAGTGCTGAGATTTCCCAAACAATTTACCACAAACAAAGCACACAATTTACGTGAAGGAAAATAAAGTTTTGACAAGGTGACAGAATTAGAAACACAGTCCCCTACCTTAGCCCCAAGAATACGCAACAAAGTAAATAGGAAGAACAAAAGGTTGTGACGAATCCTCAAACGCTGACTTAATACGAGAGCTTAAACAAATCAATTGACTCTCTTGTGGTAAAGCTTCCAAATTTAGAAAGCTAAAGTAACAATGCATATGTATACACACCAAACCTGTGCTAAATGTGAACATTCATACAGTTCCTTTAAAAATATATTCCAAATCAAGGAACTGGAACAACACAGGAATACAGATGTTTACGTCTGCAAAGAACAACTTCTGGCTCCAACATCATGTCCAGAAAGTGTCATGAAGTTGCTCTGTCGTGTCAAATATCAACTGGCTGATTTGTGTTAGTCTGCTGTCAACACAAAAGTTAACTAGGACTGCAAATAGTTGAAACTTGTGTTTTGGAATGTTCTGTTAAATTAATTATTTTGTATAGGTTATGCTAAGAAAATATCTTTCGTGCTCCACTCTGCAAGACTACATGGGTCAAGTAAAGAAGTCAGCTGTTCCAGAAACTTACAGAAGTTAATTTCATTATATTCAATCAAGATGCAAATTTTAACATATTTTCTAGCTTCATAAAGAAACCTTTCCCCTGGAATCGACTTTCTGAGCATACAGTAACTATTTTTCTTAAAGTCCACAATTTTGGGGAGGAGGTAGACATTTAAAACAAATTCAAATTCAGTTTTAGACCTCTAAACCTTACTATTCCATTTTTAAATAAAAATGCAAAACTTACTTAGAAGAATAATTAGTGAAATTCAGTTGAGGATGTACTGGCTTAGCAGGCTCAGGATGATGGCTGGCAGGTATCTGTGCAGAGGGCTTATTTTCAAAACTTCTGCGGTCAAAGTATGAGAGCTGCTTTCGATAGTACTCCTCATCTTCTTCAGGATCATAGTGATTTGAACGGACTATATCTTCAGGTGGCTTTGCTTGAGGTCTTTGTGGTTCTGGGGCCCTATTTAGGAATAATAATGCTTTACTGTATTTTAAGTTTTGAAAAGCAATAAGCACTTGAATTAGAATTTCATATCCCAAATGCTATTTTATAAGCTACCTACCCAGAAGATAATTAAAAGTATTTTTCGTGTAAAAACCCTTATGTCATAAAAATTCCCTTCAAGGGCTACTCATCAACGTAAAGGGAAAAGCATTTAATTGGCATTTTAAAATACTTGCATATAGTTAACTAATGGACTCAGAACAAGATTTTTGAGCCATTAACATACGCTTTACTGAAATAACGTAGCTAAGGAGGTGGTACCGCAAACAGTAAAAAAACCCTTACCACTCCTAAATGATCAGGACTGAACCAACATCATGCTTCTATTTCTTCTCGTGTTATAGCTACTCTTTCCTAAACCATTTTGAAAAAAGACCCTGTGAAGCTCCTTTAGAAAGGAAATTCTTTGAAACAGGTGACACACTCATCTATGATAATATTAAAAACAATTCTTTTTCTGAAATATCCAACCAATGAAAATGACTACTGATTTACTACCCAATTACATACTCTTGTTAATGATAAATTGTACCTGTACGTTGTTTTGTCATGTTCATACTGAGAGGCTGGCTTGGCAACCGTAGCAAGGGTAGGTTTAGGTGCTAATTCCGGGGGCTGTAATAAAACATATACACTAAGATTTATTTACATTTCCTATGTTTAGAAAAGATACACCTTTACTGCTAAGAGAACCATGGGAATTAGAGGCTCAAAACTTGAACAGGAGCCCATTTGGTATAGTGAGTTCAGATCCTCTTAGAACATGCTTTTGCTTTGGAACATATTTATACTGAAGTTACACAGCTGAAGACAATGTATCCCAAAAAATAACAACTCTAACTACAGCAAGGCACATCAGGAGTGGTCAACCTGTGGCACAGGTGCCACAAGTGGCAAGGGTAGGCTTAGTAGGCGTGTCTACACATGCAAATAATGCGGAGCAATAAACTCTAGTGCTTACTGTACATGCACCAGGGATCGCAGCACACAGGAGCCATGTTAGAGCAGCCCTGGCTGGCAGGGGTCTGGAGGGGAGGTGGGGTCAGCCTGCCAGCCCGGGGCTGCTCTGACCCAGCTCAACATGCTGTGGAGGGGCTGGCTGGGACACAGTGGTGTTCCAGTGCAGGGACAGCTGGCTGGCAGCCCATGCACTGAAGCATCCTCATGCCCCAGCAAGCCATGTCAGTGTCTACACCTGTGGTGCTGCTGAGTAAGAAGCTCGGCAGCAGACAGTACTTGTATTTACAAGTACTACCTTGCTGTGGAGTTTATGAATCGTTTACTCCAGCCTCATAAACACCAAGAAGGTTACTGCAGAGCTAATTAGTCAACTCCTCAGTAAACATCTTGTGTAGACATGCCCTGCGTGTGGCATATGGCAGACTGGGGAGGGGAGTCAGCACAGAGGCATAGAGGGCAGAAACCAGGGCATTAGATCAAGTAAGGAGCAAAGGGCAGGAAGAGGAAAGCAGAACAGCAGCTTGGTCAGGGAGCAGAAAGCTGAGCAACAGATTGGGCACGAAAAAGATAGAAGTGGCACTCAGGAAGCATTCATGATCAATTTGTGGCATGCCTGACAAAAAAGTTGGCCCCCACTGTGGCATGATGAAAAGCTGGAAGTGGATACTTAAATAATTTACCTTGACAGCTGGTGTATCATTAGAGTCCTTGATTTTTTCCACAGACAATGATCTTTTGTTTTCAAACATCTTAACTCTAGTAAGCACTGATTGTGGTTTCATGGCTGGATCTTCTTCTTCCTCTGTTAGTGTTGGTGGTGTAGGCAGTGGTTTACTGTTTGAAGGCAAAATTTCTGGCTTAGTTTGCGATGGAGGAGGTGGAGGGGGCACATTTGCAGTGGTATGAGAAGGCTCATACTGTCCTACTTTAGCATTAAAACCTTGGGGAGGGCCTGGTTCATAGCCCCTTGTGTGAGGCTCAAAGTACTGCTTAGGTTCGGGAGATCTAGATATCACTGGAGGGTATGTTTGGGCCTCTGGTTTATATCTACCATGAATATCGTATGCAGTAGTGGGCTGATCTTCATAACGCACTTGTGGTATGAAGTTTTTAGGTGCATGTTCATAGCGAGGTCTGCTGTCATAAGTCATTGGAGGTGGTTCTTCAAAGCGAGGTTGTGCTGGGTAGTAGCTGCGTTCTGTGCTCTCTTCTGCATTTTGTCTCGGGTCAAAGTCTTTAGGTGGTTGGTTATCATAAGGTGGTCTTGGCTGGTAGGGCTGTTTTTCATCATAATATGACCACTGGTCTTCATAGGAAGGTACACGGTCCTCATAATGTAAATGAGGGTCATAACTACGAGCAAACTGATCCGAATAGTTAGCAGAATCATACCGGTATGTTGATTGTTCATATTCCCTACTAGGCTGTTTCTCTGTATATTGAGTCTGGGATTCATAGATCAGATTTGACTCTCTTTCCTGTCGGTGTACTGGATGATTAACAGCTGGCTGTTTCAGGATGTAGTTCTGCCTAGGTGCCGCCTCCTCATTAATGTATGGATCCTTTCTGTAAACCTGCAAAAAGAGAACTCCTTATATGTAACATGAAAAGTGAGTGCACATACATTATTTAAAAAGCTACATTGCGAGTCAAAGTAGGTAAAATTAGGTTTGTTTTTTTCCTGAGGAAAGAATTACACAACGTAGATGCCTCTGATAGCAGAGAACTGGAATCCATGTCCCACATTCACATGAAAAAAACCCACTTATTTAGTTTAAGGAGAAAAGCCAAAGCTAACAAGCATCTCATATTTGTCATTTTTAGAGAATGGATTTATTTGGACTTGAAATTAATTCCAACATTTTGGGGGGATTAATTCAGAATGGCTCAATATATCAAAAGCACCATGATTCAGGATTTCCATTCAGCATAGTGAAGAATTTGCTTAAGACCAGTCTAACATATTTTGGGACAAATTTTTCACAAACACTCCATTAATAAACAAAACAATGTTGACATGTGGAATCATATACACACTGAAAGAATCAATCAAAAACAACAAATGTAATCTTTTAATTTTTCTTGTTTTGCTAGCAGAAATGGAATGATGCACAATTTGAAGCCATGCAAACAAAAAAGTTAGATGATGCGTAGCAATTTAGATGCAGTCTTAAACTGCATGAACCCTTGTGGATTGGAGGGAAGGGTGATTAAGACAGAATTCTTTAGCAAGTGGCAAAACCAAATGAGCAGGTGCCAGCTTAATGTACAGCAGCAAATAAGTGCAACATTTCAGCACGGGTACCTTGGTTGGATCTATATGCGGCGATAAGGATGATGGCTCTTGATCTCTTAGCATTATATGGGCACCCTCAGTGCTTGATGTTCTTAAGGGGCCAGCTTGCGGTTGGTAAGAGTTGTAAGGAGGTGGGGTGGGCTCCTCCAGTCTGACATTAGTTAGGTTTACGTTAGGATTAACGACAGAAGTTGATGAGATTGCAGGGTTTGTTTCAGGCGACGGGGAAAGGTAAGGGACTGCAGGTGAGGCTTCTGCTTTCTGTGAAGTGTTTAAAATATTTTAAATGTAGTGCTTTGTATAATGCTATGACTTTCCAACTTATAGGCAAAATACTTTAAATGTTCCTTTGATAAAACATCACACGTAAAGTGCACTGAAAGAATGATGCACTATCACTTTCAGAAAAGCCATTCCACCACTTATTACGAACTGAAATACATATTTAAAAGTTTTAGAAATCAGAATGGCACTTTAAAAATTATCAGAATGAATTGCTGTCTCTTTACATGAAGACAAGACAAGTAGACTTTCTAATCCATTCCAGCATATAAAATTACCATTGGCCTCTGGTGCACAGTCATGGTACTGCTTGACAGTGCACAAAGACAGTTCTCCTTCAAAGAGCTTATACTCTCAAGGAAGAATACCTGTTACTGAAGTACCAAGTTACTGCTTACCGGTTGTGAGGCAGTTATTTTAAATCCTGGAGAGTCCATTCTAAGATTTGGTTGTGGCTGCGCTTGCGATACATAAGGGTAGGCCTGAGCTTCATGATGCATTCCAGAGGAATCCTCCCTTACAGGTTCAGAAGACCGTGTAATGGCAGATTCAGGAGGAGTCCCAACCTCATCATTGAGTGTTTCATCTAGTTCTTGATCAGTGTAGGCACCCCCTTCTGTGTCTGTGTCCTCATAGTCAGAAGTGTGTCTGCTATCAGTGCTATACATGGAATATTCACTACCTGGAGCTGACAGGTAGGAAAGGCGATCATCATGCAAATCAAGGTCATCACTTGTAGCACCATCTGCCTGTATCAAACAAAAGGAAATATAAATCTTTCTTATAAACATTTTCAAAAGATGTCCTTTGTCTTACAGTGCAGAACTGGGAATGCTTTTCTTTCAGGGAATTACAGACTGAACACACAATGCATTTGCTTCAGATCTGTGACGGAACAAAAAATCATGATTAATGGGTAGCAAGACCACCAAGGACTGACTGTATGTAATAACCTGTCCTTCCACTGAGAAAGAGAGAGTTGGAATATATTCGAGGGGCAGGATGGGAAATTTTGCACTGCTATTTCCTCTGCTGGAGACTCCAGAGTTTAAGGCCAGAAAGGAACACCAATATTTAATCTGACTTCCTCCAAAGCAGCAGGGTTGTTTTTGGTGACATCTTATTGGACCAGCTGTAGTGTTGGGAGCAACTAACATTGATATTCTATGCCCAAAGGCTTGTCTAACATCCCTCCCACCTACACAGCTGATCCACTAAAAGATACTGCCAAAAAACAACAACCTTATTTCTTGCACATGGAACATCACAGCCACAAAAACTTCCTAGATAGACACAGACAATAAAACGTCACCAAGTATTTTCTGCATTTAAGGCCCCCGGCAGAAGTTCATTTAATGGCACAATGGGATCTGATCCCCAATCACACCAATCACGCCTGCTAACATACCACACATGGCAGGTTATGCAATTGTGGAATCGGATCCCAAATCATGCCATTAACAGTTGCAAGTGTACAGGGAGCCTGGGATCATCATCCCAGGGCTCCCCTGCATCCGCAAGTTGATAGCTGGGTGCCCATAGCCCAGTGTGATTGTTGGTTTCAACAAGCTGGTTTGAGATTCCAGTGTGGTCCCAGGGCTGAGACTGACATTCAGTGAATTGAGGATCCCAGCCCCAGTATCACACTGGGGTCAGTCCCAGAGCCCTGAGCACCAGAAAGTCAGAAAACTGCATATGCATGTGGGCTGCACACATGGTTTTTAAAGGTCCTAATGTACAGGGATCCCATGATCAGGGAGCTTCCCTGTGTCAAGTGTCCTGGGAGCTGTGGACAAGGTAGTCAACTGCTGGGTTATGGCTTCCCATGACCAAACACCAAAACACACTTTGCTCCTCAGGTCCCACCACAGCTGAGGGACAAGGCAAACACCATGCCAGATTGTTGGGAGTCCTGCTACCTGGCACCCTGGGCCAGATGTTGACCTCCCCTCCACTTGGCACTCTGAAAACAGTGGGGTGCAGTTCCATCAGACTGCATGACAGGGCTACCCTGCCACACATTCAATTTAAGGCATGATGAAAACCAGACACAAAAAGATTACACATTTTATGGAATATTTTTGTGGCTGGTTTCTCATTTCATCGAATTTTCTCATTAATTGCCTGAATGTGTGACCAGGTTGCTATTTATGGCACTCTTAACAGGCTGATTGCATTTTAAGTGCAATGTCTGCCAGACAGTCTTGGCCATATCTTGTGGTTCAAATCAGAAGTTACCTTTTAGAAAGACACCTAATTCCAGACTTGGAGACTTCAACACAACAAATAATGCAACATATCCATTCTTAAGTTTTTTCAGTGGGTAAATACCTGCACCATTGCTAAACCACCACAAGAGAAAAAACATCTACAGCAGTTAAATAGCTATATTTATCTTGCCAACAGTTGATCTAACATGGTTCACATAGCTATGAGCTGAGACTAGTCTTCCTTAGACCTTAAAGCCATGAGCAGGACTAGAAAGTGCTTTCATTCCACGAGAAAACCCAATTGTCCAGAAGGTACAATTGAGAGGAATGGAGTAGAAAAAGGTAGCAATCACTAAGGTGTATACTATTGTCGCATGAGGATTTCTTTTATGCCACAGAAACAGAGACGGACACCCACCTCGTCACTGTTAATTCACAGCAATCTTGGTATGATCATGGAAAAGAAAGAGGAAAGTCCACTCATTACTGTACAGCATGTGACTAGTAAATGTTTTATTATTTCCACTTAAACGAGAAAGTTGAATTTCTTACCTTTCCTTCTGAAACCCACACCAGCTGGTTCTGCTGTTGTTGAATTGCCTCTTTTAGAGCTCCATACCAGCCATCATTCATTGAATTCAAGTTAATGGTAGCTAAAAATAAAGTGACAACTTCTTAAATTTCTTTTTAATTTTGAGAAAGATCTGGATCACTAGAACCAAATGCTGAATACTTGTTAAGTCTCAGCTGGTAAGACAAGTGTAATTTGCTTGGCAGAACCTATAACACTGGAGATAATGCACAAGGCAAAACAAAGCTTGCACGATTCAGATTAGACGCGTTTGCAGGACTGGAAACATCTTTGCACTAGGGCATTGATCATATTTGATTCAGGAATTGAAGTCAAAGTTGTTGAATCCCATGTCATTTTTGTCTGTGTTCAGAAGAACTACATATAAAGAAGCTACCAAAATATTAATGTCAGTTTTTCCAGTACTGGGGCAGATGCATCCAAAAATGAATCAGACACACAAAATAAAGAAGGCTGGCAATATAGGCAGTGGGTAGTACCTAGAAAAGGAAAGATCTATGACAGGAGACAAACGTCCCATGGACCACAAGCGGCTGTCTGCTGCCTCCCTTACAAGAAGAGATGGGGGAGAAAATGAGGATGGGGTACAACCTTATGGTGTGACAATACACAGCAGTAAATACTACTGGATACTTGTGAAACCCAACATACCGGATTTTTAATAAAATATGAACAATACAGCTGTAAATATGTACTACTAATGCCAATACCAATAAGGCCTAACGAAGGGTTTTTGAACCCGAAAGCTTGTTTAATAACTATTCTCCAACTATTTGGGTTGGTCTAATAAAAGATATCAAATTCACCCAAGGAACCTTGTCTGCCTACTAATACCAAGACACATAGCAATGAAAGAACTGACAATAGGGCAATTAAAGATGATTAAAGATGCTGCCTAAACCTTTGTTGGATATAATCATCCCCACACCACTTTTTTTTTTTTTCTTTCAGTTCAGCTTCATTCGTAAACATTTCTTTCTGCTCACTTACTTGTGAAGAGGTGATGATTATTTTTCCTTAGTTTGTGAGCTCTTTCATACAATTTTCTGGCACTTTTCCGTGATTCTGGACACAGCCTCGTTCTCATGGTTTTTACACCTTGCTTAGAGTCAGGGTTCAAGAACACTACAATGGGATACCACTGTGCATAATTTAGACGGTCCACTGCATTTGGAGTGACATCCAATAAAGCATGTTTGTCCTGCAGGGA